AAGCTCTGGGAGTGGACCGTCGCCCGCGACGACGCACTCTACACGGCAGGTAGACGCCTCCTCTGCTCGTGGGATTCATCAAAAAATATGCTGCTCGGTGAACGTAGCGGTCGCAACCGAAGACGTCCAGACGTGCGTGCGCTTCAACACATACGACATCCGCGAGATCGTGACCAACGGCGCGCAGCGCGTCATCTTTTGGAACTGGGTGCACCACCAGCTCCAGTTTTACTCGCCCCCGCTGTCGCAAAAGGACTTTAAGCAAGCGATTGGCGCGTTCACGCAGTCGATCTTCGTGCCGGACTCGTCCCAAGCCATCACGGCGACCGAAGACGGCGATCTCATTCTGTGGGACTCGTCGCTCGTCAAGTCGGGCGACGTCCTCGTGCATGCCGACAAGAAGGCTGTCAAGATCGTGCGCATGACGGGTCTGGATGCGCACAAGCCCGTCGCGATCCGGTACCTCACCGACATGGACGGGTACCTCGTGGTGGGCGCAGCCGACGGCGCGGTTCGCTTCTACGACTTCGACTTTCGCCTCGTCGCGTGGTTTGAAGACCTCTGTGCCGGGCCCGTCAACTCCGTCTCGTTTGCCAACACGGAGACGACCACGGAGTCGGTGCCAACGGATGCGTTCCGCGTGCCCGAATTCATTGTCGCCACTTCGAGTACGGGTTTGCGGCGCGTTTTTTTCGGTGTGTTTTGAGATGCAATAGATGCGTTCATTCTGGGCATCACGCCGTCGATCCACGAAGAGTTTGACGTCGAGAAGCGCCGAGGCACGCTGCTCATGCAGGGCATTGCCGCCGAGATCCGCGGCCTCGCGACGCACCCGAGTGCGACCGAAGTCGCGATCAGCTGTGCGTCCGGCGTCTTGCAGCTCTGGGACTACGTCACGAAGCGGCTGCTCATGGTGCGCCACTTTGACGAAGACAAGTTTCGGCCGCAGACGCTCGCGTACGACCCACTTGGCCGGTACATGCTCGTGGGGTTTGCGAACGGCGCGATCAAGCTCCTGCATGTGAGCACGCTCGCCGACTTGCACCTGCTGCGGCACTCCAAGGTACGAGTGACCTTTTGCATCATGGTCATCCATCATCGGCGTGGCGCAGAGTGCGATCCTCGACATCAAAGTGGCGCCCGACAGCTCGTTCATTGCAGCGATTGACGCTGACAACTATGTGCTGCTTTGGCGCAACAAGGCGATGGAAGCCGAAGAGATTAGCCACACGATGGACGCGACGGACCAGTGGGTGTACATTGGTCGCTGTCGGTCGCACGCCAAGCCCATCACGGGCCTCGAGTTTGGCCTCTCGGACCAGCAAGCGCTGCTCGTCACGGTCGGCGAAGACCGCATGCTCGTCGAGTACAGTCTCTCGCGCTCGAGCGTCCTCGACGGCATCGTGCTCACGGCGCCGCCTCAAAAGATTGAGCAGTCGGCCGTCCCCACGGCGTGCTTTTGGCACCCGGACATGCCGGGCGTCCACGAAGATCTGATTGTGATTGCCAACGACGAGTACAAGTTCAAGGGCTGGAACGCCAACAACAAGACGTGTCGTCGCACGACGCTCAACCCGACGTACGGCGGCCCGCTCAACCGCATCCTGCCGATCCCGCTCGCAAAGGCCAAGACGGAGCGCTACTGCGCCTACAGCACCCACGACAAGGTACCCTCGGCCTCCATGTTCGTAGGACTGATTAAATGCGGCGAAGGTCGTCGGCGTGATCAAGCTGCCGCTCGATGGCAATCCGCACAAGTCGATGGGACTCATTGCGCACGCCGGGCACATCTCGAACGTCGCCGTGACGTGCGACGGCCGGTACTTGATCACGGCGGGCGGCAAAGATTTGATCCTCAACATGTGGGAAGTGACGCCGTCGGCGCTCGATGCCATGGAGGCCGCCGGTGGCGTCGGCGTTGAGCCGTACGGGTCGCTCATCGAAGGCGGCTTGCACAGCGCGTTTTACAACGAGATTGTCGACTACTTTTACTTTGCGCAGCTGCGCACGCAGGGCGAAGCGTCGACCGCTGCGCGCAACATTACGCAGGAGATTCCGCTGGCCGAGATCCCGCACGTCATGCGCGCGCTCGGGTACTACCCGACGGAGCTTGAGATTCAAAACATGTGCAGCGAAGTCAAGTACTCGCGCTTCACCGAGACGACCAAGACCGTCGACGCGATCGGACTCGTGGACTTTGTCAAGCTCTACGTCAACCACCGCCCTGTCTTTGGCATCGGCAAGGCGCACATTGAGGCAGCCTTTGCGACCATTGGCCAGAAGCGTAGCCCGAGCCTTAAGTGGCCCGACCTCAAGCACAAGCTGCTGACGCTCGTAGCCACTTCGCGCATCATCCTCGAGGTCTAATGCGAGCGTGTAGGGCGAAAAAATGACCGAAGACGAGCTCACCGCGTGCTTGAGCGCCCTCGTCGGCGACGACGCCGAGCACTGGGACGCGATGACGGCGTTCTCGTCATCGACCTTTGCCGACTCGGTCCTCGGCTTTGAAGACTATGATGCGTTTGCGACGGCGTCCGAAATTATCTAGTCGCAGACTCTGGTTGGCTTGTATGTAATGTTAATACAGAACATATCTCCTCTCGTCCAAGAGGGCCATGACAACAACAGTACTGTTGGCAAGCGATTCATTCAAGCACTGCGATCTGTCGAGCTCCGTCGACGACCGTGCGATGCGCTAGGCGGCCTCTGTACCGCTCTTGTTTGTCTCCGTCGTCGCTAAAGAGTACTATATAATGCACAATGCCCACGCCGCCGTCTTGTTGCTGAGGGCGATATTCTTCCCGCGACAATTGAGCCTTCACTCGTGGGCGACTGGCCATTCGACGATGATGGTGCCAAGAACCCTCGACAAGGCGTGCATCCTCTGTCTTGGTCACACGTGACTCGGTGGGCAACTTCAGCAACTCGGGACATTGTGTACCGTGTTTCTAAAGAGGCGGAACAACGATCGGAGTGGACTCGGACGAGGTCTGGGGCAGGATGAAGCATGAGGTAGTGACGAGTGGATGCGACTCCACCGGTCTTCAAGAAAAACGAGGACAGATCTGAAGCCACCTCACGGTAGGTTAAGCCCATGGCCTTGACCGCTCGTATGTAGTGGCGGGCTGCTCTCGACGTATGTGGTTGATATATTGAAGATGTATATCTATATTGAAAATGTAGCTGCTTTATTTGCCCTTGTAGTACGTCGCGTTGGTGTAGACGACGAACGCGTGCTCGGCCGCGCAGTACGGAAACACGGGCGGGCTCGCGTTCGCGCTGCTCGGGTTGAAGACCAACTTGCCCGTGTCGATGGAGACGTAGATGGCGAGGAAGCTCGTGACGAGCGCGACGAGGATCGCAAAGATCTTCTCGTAGAGCGGGAGCGTCTCATAGAACGTCTTGACGTAAAAGACGAGCGGCAGAATCATGCAGCAGAGCGCCGTCGACGACGCCCCGACAAAACTCTGGAGGTCGATGAACTTGTCCTTCATGAGCACCGACGCAATCACGGCGAGGACCACCATGACCGTGCGCAGAATCGCCACGCGCACATAGGCGTTCTTGCGCTTGTAGTCGCCTTCGATCTCCGCGAGGTCTTCGTCGCGCTGACTCATCATGGCCGCGCGCACCGACGTCTGGTTCTTATCGCCTTGCAGCTCTGGCGTCTCGACCGTGCTAAACACGTGGTCGTGGAGCGCAAACGAGTCCTTGTGCAATCCGAGCACGAGGCGCTCGGCGGTGAAGAACGCGGGGAAGAAGATGATACCGAACGCGATCGTAATGTGCATCTGCATGAAGAGGAAGGCGAGGACGATGCCGCCGCGCGACGCGTTAAAGCCGAGCGACATGCCCGCGATGGCGAAGAGGAGGTTGCCAGGAATCTGGCACCCCGTCATGACGTAGCCCGTGACCGAAATGATGAGGAAGAGCACGGAAATGATCGAGAGCGTCACGATGATGCACCGGGGC